TATACAGCGTGAGAGAGTCTAGAAATACAGCAGAATATGAGACACTTCCATAGTTTTATAACAATACCAACATTTATTTTACATTTTCCTCAACACTTGTGGGACATTCTTTATTTATACATATATATATAACAAAAACACACTGATCATACCATTTCAAGTTATAACAAAACAAAATAAAATTTTCAAAAAAACAACAGTTCCAACTGTTTTCAATCATGTCTTTTTTTTAAAGTGTCAATAGACGCTTCTTTCAACAGATACATAAATACCATTTAATATAATCTGTTCGAGAATATCAAAAAATAAAAATTGAATAGATTTTCTTTTTCTTTTTGACAAAAAAAAAAAAAGTCTAATAATTTGACAAAAACGCATCATATAATCTATAAATTACACGTGCGTGTATGACAGAGAAAAGGACTAATAGATATTTTAAAATTTTTTATATATCTAGTGTTTTTTCTGTAGTAGAAGAATAAATGTGTATCACATTCATTTATTCAATAAATAAAGAAATCGAAAAAACAGAGATAAAAGTAAGATAAGTAAAATATACATTTGCTAGAAAAACCCAGAAAAAAACAAACAACAACAATATATTTATCATACTCATCTTATTAATCTTCATCTTGTTGTTCAATTAAACTTGTTAGATCAACAAGTTCACAGGGTGGTGTCAACGACGTCGGTGGTAATGATTGATCATCTTTTTTCTCATGTACAATTTCAATAAAAATTTGTTCATCATTAATAACAGCTTCATTTAGTTTTAATTGAATTTTTGAAAATTCTATTTTTTCAATTATTTCTTGACTAATTTCAGACGGTTGTGAAAGTAAATTTTCAGATAATTCTATCAATTCTTTATCAGTAATATTTTTTGCTTGTAATTTTTTTTTACCAATATCACATAATTGAAGAAAAAAATCGAATTTTTCCATATTTTCAAATGAATTTTGATTCCAAAATAATTGTTGATCTAAAAAAGAAAGAACATAAGATCATTTAAAATAAATAATCAAAAAGTATTTTATTCAATTGGGTTTTTTTTTATACACATACCTTTTTGTTGTAATTGTTCTAATTGTTCCCAGACCATATCTCTTTGTTTACAAATAACATGAAATAATTTGAGTGCATAATCATTTGTTTGTCTTTTTAATTGATCATATAACTCTAATTGTTGATCTAATTCAAATTTTTTAGTTTGTACAAGTTTTAAACGATATTCTAATTGTTCTAAAAGATGTTTTGATTCACTATGTACTTCGAGTAAATGTTGTTTACGACATTCTTGACATAACATAAAAAAGCAATGTTTACAAACTTTTAATAATTTTAATAGACCACATGTATGACATCGTGCATGAGATGCATTATTATTTGTTGTTGATGATGATGTATTTGAATCATCGAATTTTGATGATGTAAAATTTTCAGAATCAAGTGCTTCACATAATTGTTTAAGAACAGGATTGACTAGTAACATCGATTGAAAATGAGCAAAATTATTATATTCAATATGAAGTTTACAATAGGGACTAAAAGAATATATTAAAAATAAAAAAGAAGTAATTAATATAATTAAATTAAATTTATAATTTTTAAATACATACCAATCGATTGAATTTGTAGAATTATGTACAAATTCTATTAAACATTGTTGACAAAATGAATGCATACATGGTAAAGAACGAGGCTGTTTCATTCGTGATAAACATATACCACACATCAATATTTCATCTAAAAATTCGTCTTTACTTTTGGCCATTTTTTTCGTTGCCACTTTGTCAGTTAAAAAATAGAAACAGTAATTGTATCTGAAACATGTGTACATGAGAAATAAACCTTATCAGGATGGTACGTTCGGTACCAAAAGGTGAAACTCCCTATACTGATCAAGATAGGTTAATAAAAATCAGCGAGAACGATGCTTAGAAACGATTTGCTACTATTGTAACCGTCCTCTTAAAAGGTTGTGACCGTTCTCTTGAGAGATTATGACCGCCTAAAAAACATTCACCTGATATCAATCGATATCAGACAGGTATGTAAGAGGTGATGACCGCCTTTTAAGAGTTTATGACCGTCAATTTAAGAGGTTGTGACCGACGGTTAAAAGGTTATGACCACCATTTTCAGCGGTTGTGATCGTAATTTTAATAGGTTGTGATCGAAAGTGATATCAGATTTTAAATACGTTCAAAAGAATCCATGATACAACCTGTTTTTGAGTATATAACTGAAACTCCGTCTACTGCGAAGACTTGGAGAGAGTTTCACAAAAGTACAGAAATCCACTTTCAGCTTTGGACAGCACCTTCTTGCTTAACAATCGGTGCTGTTCCTTAAAAATACATCATAGTTTAAACTTTTATTTTTTAGTGCATCGACTAAACAAAGTAGAATAGTGTGAAAAATTATAGGTTTACCTTATACATTCGAACTGTTCGGATTCATGTGCGAACAAATAGTTTTTTGTTCGCACATGACTAATAATCATCTCTAAAACTTAGTAATACTATCAAACTAGAAAGGCTGAGAGGTTAGGTTATTAATACGAACATTATTCTAACAAGTCATTGGCAGTGATACTGCTAACGATAATTAATGATACTCTAACATGATGAGATAAATTCATTACACTATTACTATTTTCTGATGTCATAGGCGTATGTATCAGATATATTATAGATATAAATCTCAATTAAAACACAAGGTTGCTTTTTCAACAAACGTCAATAACGCACAAATACTTTTTTGATATTTTTAATTTAGTTTAGTTTTACAACCGTTTATCAGTTACTAGAGACTCATTTTTGAAAGAATCAAAAGAAGATACCACGATCGGTTTCGACCTTTCTCAAGGGTCTCATCAGGTGGTCTTCTTTCAGAAAGACAGAGTT